ACCAGCGAGAGGAGGAGGTCGCGCTAGGGGGAGGAGAGGGCCGCGACGGAGGACCAGGAGGTCGCACAAGGTGGTGGAGGTGTGAACGCGCGCGCGCGAGAGAGAGAGAGAGAGAGAGAGAGAGAGAAGACTGGCATATCTTTCTCCAAATGTTGAAAAGAGGCCGTTGGCCTCTTTTTGGGGGGAGGTAATTTGCCAAATACCCCCATAAGTTTAGGTATATGGCAAAATGTCCCTGAAATCTGGGCCCTGGCATTTTGCAATTGCACCGGTGAAAAGTTGGCAACTACCGGGGCAGTTTGCAAAGTTGGACGATGTCCAGTATAGGTACATTGCAAAGATGGGCTCCGACCGATGTCTGAGTTGTTTTGCAAAATATTTTTGACATCGTCCTTCGCTGCAGTGTAGCTCCGGCAGATCCACTTGCAGAAGAGTATTAGAAAAGAGCAGCAGCACATAGCGATGGGGTGGAACGAACATTAGGTGAAACTGGTCAGCAGTGGTCCACATGTGCGGAACAAAAGCCATATGTGTGGGATTTGAACCACCAACACAACCAGCCATTCCAAGAACTGCAGTCCCTCATAGAGATACCTTGCGTGAGATGTCAAGCAATCGGTTGTCAATGGGTTTCACTGAACCTTGTATTACATGTAATGCAAGGCCGTCAGGAAATGACTCGCCAAGTCAAGACTTGGCTTATTCGGAGCTACTTCAAGGTCATTTTAATTTCTTAACCATTTGTTAAGCTTGTGTGGTGGTACACAGTGACAAAATGGGCTAGACACATATTGGCATCAATGCCGCAAGCGCCATGCAATGCCCTTTGTTCAGTCCACTGAGCTTAAATTGTGCATCCCACCTGCAGCGCTCCCATTTTCAGGCAACTGCACATACTGATAAATAGCAAGTGAAGGATGATGAAACTGGAAGCAGCGGGACGAAATACAATATAATAATGCTAATTAATGCTTAAACTTTGGGCACAACCGAGGCTATTTTGAGTTTTCTAAAGAACACTAGTTGGTAATGTTGGGCAAGGAAAGAATATGTGCATAAGACACGAGCTTACTCACGTACATCATAGTCTTCATACTCGCCATCACCTCCATCCACCTGAGGAATGCACCTCTCTCTAACGCCCCCTGGTCTTGCTTCCTTGAAGCTGCCACTGGTCGACACCTGGCACTCCCCCATTGCAAGCCGCAAAAGAGCTGCATCTGCATCAACCCTTGCTTCTTCATCAGCCGTCAAGTCCCTGATAGCCCGCCTCTGTGCTTCCCGTGCAACAGCTGGGGCGCAGATTCTCTGCAAAATAGGTAGGATAGGATAGATATCAACATGATTAGTTAGGATCAGATATGAAACTGATAGAAACAGATACTACACTTGATCGTGTGGGGGTGAGGTGAGGGAGGCGAACAGTTAGTTAGGTTGGGCTCTCTCTCTCTCTCTCTCTCTCTCTCTCTCTCTCTCACACACACACACACACACACACACAGGCTTTTTTTTTTGGACCATGGATCAGATAGTACACTTGACCGATTGAGGGGGGACGGGGGGGGCTGGCGCATAGTTAGTTAACTGGGGTCTCTCTCTCTTTCCATCTCACTCTCTCTCTAGTCTCTCTCCCGCATCTTGGGCGCGCTTGCTTTCTTTTTTCCCCCATTTTTAACCGTCTCGATGAACCACGGAACTAATAGAAGCAGATACTGCACTTGCTCGTGTGGGTCCTCTCTCTCTCTCTCTCTCTCTCTCTCTCTCTCTCTCTATCTATCTATCTATCTATCTATCTATCTGTGTGCGTCTTACCTCTTGCGGCTGCGTGCATGCACTCGCCCACTTCGCTTTATTTATTTTTTCCCCGTAATCACTCGTGTTTCCAGTTCCTTTTACTTCCGAAACCGCTCATGCTTCCCTTGTTTTTTTTTCATCCTCCATTATGCAATAACCCATGCCATATGTCTCGTGGAAATCCGAGGGCCTACTTGGCCGCCCTCAGCCCAGGCCAAAACGGGGGAAACGACCCCACACGAGAATTCAGGGCCTGGGCGTGTGACAGCTGACTTTTGTCATCTGTCGTGACACGAACAGTCGAAGTCCAAAGGTACCCAGCCAGGCCGCCGGTCAAGCACACACACTTGTTTGTATGCAGGTACCCAGACAGCATCAGGTCCAAGGGGAAGTCTGCAACTGTACACAATCGGGGCCCTCGGCTGTGAGGCAATCTGGACGACTGAGGGAACAGGACCCGAGGCCATACAGCCTCGTCAAATACTGCTTAATGGCTGGCCTCGACGTGGTCAACATTCAGTCTAGACGCTGCTTGAACACTGGCTTGACTTCGACTTGATGCTGGCATTGATGCTGGCGAGACGCTGGCTAGACGCTGGCGGAGTGCAGGCACTGTGGACGACGACGACGGCATGCTGGCACGTTCTGCATTGTGCACCAGGCATGATAATGTGGCACTGCCTCTGGTCTACACTGCATGCTGATGTGGCACTGCCTCTGGTCTACATTGCATGCTGATGTGGCGCTGCCTCTGGTCTACATTGCATGCTGATGTGGCGCTGCCTCTGGTCTACATNCTGCCTCTGGTCTACATTGCATGCTGATGTGGCGCTGCCTCTGGTCTACATTGCATGCTGATGTGGCGCTGCCTCTGGTCTACATGGCAGGCTAATGTGGTGCTGCCTCTGGTTTTCATTGATGATGTGGCACATGCCACCTGTCTCGACTGCTGACGTGGCATTGTCCACGCTGTCTACATGAGGTGACTGGTTGTGAGGAGGAGGAAGATCGGGATCTGTGGATGATTGGGATCGAGTACTCACCTGAGGTTGACGTCGTCACTGTATTCTACTGAGTCTTCATGGTCTTCATGAGATGAGAGTGCCACGTGGCACTACTGTGTGATCAGGATTATCATACACTGGTTGATGACATGGAGGAGGAAGAAGACCGGAGAAGGAGTGGGGTTTGTTTGGCAGACTGTTGAGTATTCTCGAGTGATCATTAATCATCGCTCCCACCTTCTCCTCTGTTTACTCCCCCTCCACTCTCTTCGTCTAATGGTAATGAGATGATGTTTTCAGATATCATTTCACGATAATTGGAGACTATGCTGCAGATACTGAGACTACTGATGTTTGACGACTGTTGAGTATCTGCCAGACTGGGTTCATCACAATTTGGTATCGGAGCTAAACGAAACGCGTTTATTAAGTGGGAGGTGCCGCATGTGCAAAACGAAACGCGTTTATTAACACGCGAGGCAAATACCGCAAGTCTAGACATTGCAGTATTGCACGTGCGAGCAGCTGTCCCTTGAAGATGATGACGTGGCTGCATTGAAGACTTCAAGATACCGGCGAGAGCTTCCTTAGCAACAGGCTGACGTGACGCTGGTCAAGAGAGAGATCGGGACCGCTGATGCGGCGCATTGCTTATGTGGCATGATGTGGTATTGTGGCAGGGCATGGACTGACATGGCACATACTTCTGTTGCGAGCACCTGCTGTTGATGCGCTGTGCTGACGTGGCATGCCAGTGTTGTGTTGCATGTACGCATTGCTGACGTGGCAGCCCCCTTGTAGACCTATCAGGTCCTTGATGTGCTGATGTGGCAGACTCTTTCGAGCTGCTGTGTTGGCATTCCAGGGGTGGCACGTGGCAGGATGAGGGATTGATTGCATTGCTTCTACAGATGGTACAGCTGGGAAGGTTGGAAGCTAACCGTTGATTGTTTTGTTGTGTCGACTGACTACTTACCTGTTGTTTGCTCTGTGGTTGCTGTGTGTACTCACAAGTGTGCTGTTGTCTTGATCTCACTGGCCGTGGCTGCGGTACCTGTACACTGCTGTAGGACGTCATCACACAGAAACAGACAGCATAGTTAGAATAGGAAATCAATTGAGAACCTGTTTCGTCCTCTTTGTTTAATTCTCTTTTGCTGTAAAAGCCGCGTGTGCCGTGGAATTTATTTTTGTCTTTTAAATTTATTTATTGTGCGGCATCTACACGCTTGGGAAAATGAACTCTCTCTGAAAATGTCTGCGTGCCTCCATCCTGACGCAGTTCATTCCTCTTCTTTTCTTCCTTAAGACGCATGGAACGATTGACACAAGAAGGCAAAACACCAAAGGGCCTTCGGCAATTGCTCGGTGAGATACACGGTGCCGGTCCAGCAGCTGAACACCACGTTCACGGGCAGTTCAACCTGCAACCTGCAGAGGGTGAACTTGAAGCCGTGAAAACTGGTGTTGAGATGCTGGAAACCGGGCCGCGAGTCGAGGAACACGTTAAACAAGGGCGTCATGCTCTTGACCAGTTTGTTGCCGAGCAGTTTGAAAGAATGGACCAAAAAGAAAAGGAAGAAGAGAAGAAAGAAGAAAGTGAGGAGAGAAAGGAATTGTCCGTAGAGATATTGGAGGAAAACATCAGACAATTAGAGAAATCTCTAGCAGATTAAAGAAGAATACCGGAGGAGAAAAGAAGAGACAAAACAGCAAGAGAAAATGTTAGAAGAGATGAGAGAACGATTTCACTTTGAGGAAGTTCAGACTGATCTCTCGTCCGTATTGCAATCTATCATGGCTTACCTTGTTCATCTCGAGAAGAAGATAGACACTAACACCATCTCACTAGATACCATGATGAGACTCATGAAAGGTAAGGATAAGGTGAGTATTGAGCAGGAGACGAAGGGGGAAGCAGGCAGGAAACCACCCCAAGAGAAACTCATGAAAGATGCAATACAGAAGGTAACGCCAGATAAACCCGGTCCCTCAAAGAAAGAATCTGAGGAACCGGCAGAAAAGAAAGAAGGACCCACCGAAAAGAAAGAAGAACCGGCCAAACAGGTAGAGAAACCAAAAAGAAAAGAAAAGGTTAAAATGAAACTTTTTACCTACAATGGACAAAGGGGCAAGCACTTGGGCTCTGGATCGCTGAGATCCAAACATAGTGTGGGACTGCACCAGTAGAGCCAGAAAGCCAAGTGGCTTTTTCGAATTCTTGTCTTGGCAAGACAGCCAAGGAATGGGTATTATCCGAGGCCAACGCTGCTGGCTTCGAGGATATCGGTGAGTGGGCAAAGACCCTAACTCTCCGAGAATTTCTCCAAAAGATCAAGGAGAGATTTTTGGATAAGACGACGGGCGACAAAACCTTTGATGAGCTCACCACCATAGGGCAAAAATATTGGACCTCTGAAGACACGCTATCTCGTGAAGTTGATAGGTTGTTTCAAGTACCTGGTTTGAACTTGCACGACAACCAAATCCTCTATATCTTCTCGCAAGCTTTGCCTGAACCCATTCGCGGACACCTTGTGGCTGAGGCCAAATCTGGTAAGTGTAATTACCGACAGTTCCGTGATCTCGCGCTCCAAAGGGAGAAAATGACTGCACAGGTAAAAAGGATGTATGCATCTGTGGTAAAGACTGGACCGGTTGGTGGGTACGGTATGCGGGTCCTCTGGCGACAAAAGCGTTAGGACCACATGCTTGTTGTTTTTGACGATGACACTGTAGAGAAGTTCCCCCTAGACGAGTCTGAGGGAGGAGAAGGTAATGGCGGCAATGAATCTTCGAAGGGTGATGTCACTGCCGTTGTGGCCAACAACGGAGGTCAAGGACAATGGAAGAAGAAGAGGAGGCCACGCTCATTTCCCGACATTGCGTTCGAAAAGCCTTGGGAGAAAATGAACATGACACGAGAGGAGTGGCAGTCCAAAATGAACAATCACCAATGCCTCAAGGGTGGCACCGTGGGTCATGTGAGAGCCTCGTGCCCACTCATCAGAACCAAAAAGCGAGCAGCCTATAGGAGTAGCAACTGCTCCTACTGAGTCCAAGGGTTTAAGCGAAGCCTAAGGTAAAGCGCCTACAATCCCTTCTACCCCTTAGACTCTCAAGGCATAGGATGGCTCTTCTTCCGCCCGTCGTCCAGAACACCCCGACACTGTACTCTGTTCTATCTCACGGGACGATTCCCTTGACGAGCTCGGCAATGAACTCGTACCACTTTGGAGTTTGTGAGCGAAGGGTGAGGTGATGATCGCGGATATTGAAAATTCACACACACGAGTAGGTACACTGTTAGATCCAGGATTGACGCGGTCTTACATCTCAGAGAAGGCAATTCAAAAATTGCATCCGGAAATAAAGGTAAAAGATTTACCTCGACCTATCACGTCTATGCTGGCTGACAAGAGCACGATCACTATCTCTCAATACGCCGATCGTGTTAAGTGTCATTTCAGGACTAAGAAGCGGGAAAAAAAATTACACGGGATATTCTTC